TTAACAACCGCAGTGCTGACACACTCGTCGAAGAGATAAACAACACAGACGACGCCCGGAGATACTTTGGAGCCTCTAAGATACTCGCCAAAGGATATGTTAGACCAGCTCTAACCGTCCACAACTCTGCTGGGAATATCACAGGTACTAATGAGGAGAAAGCGAGGATTATTAAGGAGTACTTTGAAGCTGAGTTCAACGACGCTGATGAGCCCACCCTTCCTGCCTTCCTTGACCCCCCATCTAGCCTTAACAGTCCCATCACCGTTGCAGAGATAGAGAGAGCCATCAGTAAACTCAAGTCTGGTAAAGCAGTGGGTATTGATAAAGTTCCTGGCGAGGTCATGAAAGCCCTGAACAACCCCCTCCTTCATGAGGAGCTAGCTAAAGTGTTCAACGAGTCTTTCGAGAAAAACATTCACATTGAAGCAATAGGAGCAGGCATCCTCACACCACTGGCTAAGCCTGGTAAAACTCGTGGCCCAGTTAAGTCGATACGACCATTGACCCTGCTGAATGTCTCTAGAAAGATCCTGTCACTGATAGTGCTAAACAGAATAGAGAGAGCTGTGGACAACTTCACCGGACCGTTCCAAGCTGCCTACAAAGCTGGCAGGAGCTGTGCCGACCTAGTTTGGGCACAGAGCATGCTCATATCTGTAGTAATGAAGAAGGAGTTTGAATGGAACAAAGTGAGTATCGACATGTCAGCTGCCTTCAATACCATCCGCAGAGGTACAACAATCAGACTACTAGAAGCTGCAGGATGCTCCAGAGACGACCTGAGGCTTGTACAATACCTCATGGCTAACACCACTCTAGTAGTCAGAGTGTGTTCTACTGACTCAGAGATGTTCTCTTTCAACATAGGAGCCTCCCAAGGAGACAGCACAGCTGGTAAATTGTTTACCCTCAATCTAGCTGGAGCTGTAGTGCACATAAGAGCAGTCCTCCCCTCAAGACCCAACCCTCCGATAGCCGATAATCACATGCCTCTTGAGTCCGGCTATTCAGACGATGTAGAGGAGATTGGTGAAGATATGGAGGAGTTACAGGATATCTTTCAGATCTCCAAGAATATTCTCAGTGAATGGAGTCTCTTTGTCAATGACACAAAGACAAAGTTTACCAGAGTGTATTTGGAAGAAGTTGGTGCCTGTGACGAGTGGGGTAATGAACTAAGAGGAAAAGAGGAGTGGAGAAACGAGACGCTTCTTGGTACAAAGCTTGGATCAGAGCAGGATGTTACTAATAGAATAAATAAAGCTAACTCTGCCTTCTGGTCATTTGACAAGCTGTGGTGCCAGGGATCAGAGAGGAGTCAAATAACTGAGAAGAGAAAGATCAAACTCTACGACTCACTAGTAGTATCAGTGCTCCTGTACAACTGCTGCTGCTGGGCCGTACCTCAGCATGTTCTAGAGTCTGTAGATGTTGTTCAGAGGAAGCACCTCAAGCGCATCCTACACATCTATTGGCCTAGCTCAATATCTAATAAGGCCCTCTACGCTCGTACCCAGACCAGGCCCCTTTCCGAGAGAGTGGAAAAGGCACGGTGGACAATGCTAGGTCATGTTCTACGCAGTGACAACGACACGCCTGCCTACCAGTCTCTGTTATTTGCTACACTAGGATGTCGAACACTAAAGGGACGAGTGGGTAGACACAGGACTAATTTGTATGATATTATTGTAAAAAAGGACCTATTTAAGAGACAAATTTATTTGAAAAATGAAGATGATTTTACCAACTTAGTGAACTTAGCAAGAGATAGAGTAGGATGGAGGAGTTTATTTACTTTGAGACATATTGAACGAATGAGTCTTCGTAAGCGTAAATAGGCCAGCACTTTGCTGAGCCTCTTTAGGTGCTCTTTTGTTTATAGATGTTATTATATATTCAGTATTCATTTAGGATTCAGTATTGTGTAGGATAATGTGACGGATTTCACCTTATTCTACTCAAGAAAATATTCCGCTCACAAAATACCAGGAAACAGAACACGGAACATCAATCGATGAACTGCTGCCAGATACCGAGCAAATATTTACGGGTATGATTAAAATATTGGGAACAGTAATTAACATGGTGCACTGGCAGTTGTATATTTATTCATCACGTCATACTACCTGATGGAGATCTGATATAATTAAAATTTTAGAAAGTAGAAAATATCTAGACCAGTTCTTGGCAAAGAGATTTGTGTCAAATATATTGCACAGATGTTACTGTATCTATGCTGTACTAGGTTTACGGCTATACAATGACGTATTATTCTTGAGCTGCTGTAGAGTAACCATCAGCATCGGCCTGTAAGTACTATTTATAATTTAGATTTCATATCAAACAGTCAATGTTACGTGACCGACTACGGTAAAGGAATTAAAAACTTAAGCATAAAGTTAAAGATAAAAACAATTAAAGCTGAAGCAGAGTCAAAATTTACACAACACACAACTGAACGCTGAATGATAGTGTAAACAACGTTTCAGGAGCGCAGAGAGACTGTCCAGTAAAACACGCACCTGCTCGCAATTATACCTTATCAAGATATTTAACAAAGACAAACACTGAGCTGTAATGTTGAGGGACGGTCATTATTTTGAGGTAAGAATTAGCTTTATCTTTCATTGGTTATTATATTTAAAAATTCCTCGCACACTGTTCAATTTGTTGAGATCTTCTGATATAATTGTAGAAAATATAAAATAGCTAGACCAGTCCTGAAAAGAGATTCAATTTGAGTCAAATACATTGCACAGCTGCTACCGTGACTATTCTGTACTAGGTCTATGGTTATTATACAATGACGTATTATTCTTGAGGCTGTAAAGTAACCGTCCTGTAAGTACTCTCTAAAAATTACATTTCATATCAAACAGTCAGTATAATACGTGACCGAGTACACTATATATTTATCAGCTTCTACATTCTGTTGACACGTATTTCTTTTAAGAAAGCCATATTTTTATCAATTCACTTTAGTTGTATTTGGTTCTTAAATTAAGCAAATATCTGTCAAGTAAAAACACAGCTGTTACCGTAACTATACTATACAATGACGGTACAATCTTGGTACTATTGAGTAACCGTCCTGAAAAGTGCTTTCTCATTACGCTACCATATCATTTCAACAGTATTGTTATTACGTGAACATGTATACAATTACTATATACTGTTAACGGCCTTTGTTGTGTGACGAACGTCATGTTAAGTTGATACATCTGTATCGTTATATTACGTATATAGGGTTAAATTGATTGATGGGTTAAACTAGGTTAAAATTTGTACCATAATAATGTAATCACATTGGAGAACGACTCCGACTGGGATTCGAACTTGTGGCCCCGGCCGGTTAAAATGTGTCAGATTAGTCAACTGTGTTGACATTTTTGTCAAATAAAAAGAATGGCTACGGCTGTGATTCAAACTTGTAACCTTCAGCTAAAATGTGGCAGATTAGTCAACTGTGTCAACATTTTCGTCAAATAAAAGAATGGCTCCGGCTGGGATTCGAACTTGAAACCTCCGACTAAAGTTGTGGTAGATTAGTCAACTGTGCTAAAATGACATTTTAGTAAAATGTGTCTCGGATAGAGCTCGAATGCAGGTCCAAACCATGACACTATACTACTGACCTCAGGCTATCATGTTCATAAACTTAGAGATTCGGCGGAATGACAGGCTGAGCGCGGCCCATAGTAAACTGGACGGTGCTCAGTCTGTCATTCCGCCAAATCTCTATTCTATGATTATGAAATTAAATATAATAGCCTGGGGTCCCCAGGTAAGATTCGGTCGAAAATTTAAACCAAGTCCCAGATTATAAAATTCTTTCCAACCGCTACATATTCAAAAAACATTCAAGCTATTTTGTTGACTGCATTTTTAAGTATGAATAAAATCTCAAAATTTTGATGATCTTCTATATTTTGAAAAGAAATAATGTTTCCAATTTGACAAATAGCAACCTTGGTGACTTTTTTCTTAACGGGTGATACTCGTAAAATATTTGTTTCAAGACCGTACCGACGAGTCCAACTCGGCGCACGTCTTGGTAGGTTATAAACCTACAACTTTGTTCATGATTACATTCATATGAAAGTTTTGACTTGAATATTATGCAGTGGCCGCCTCATTTGGCATATACAGAAACATGATGAACAAAATATAATATGAATATGATAATTGTATTGAAAATGGAATGAAGTTTTGAACTAAAATGTTTACTTTGATAATAGTCTCAGAGTCAATCCCAGAATCATCTTGATTAGGAACAATCGGAATCGGCTGCAAATTTCCTTTAATGATTCCGTGCTCAAAATCAAATTGTTCGGTTGGTTCGCTTATAGAAGAGGTCATATGAGATTGGTCATCGGCTTTGTGGCATATCCTTTGTTCGGGTACGTAACTTACATCACAATTAACAAGAGTGGCCTGAAACCCCATTAATTAATTAACTATCATTAGAACTTCAAAATAGAACTTATAATCTTATTAAAACCATGAAAATACCTGGAAATTAAAGTATTTGACCTAATCTCTGTTAACAAACAAATTGTTCCTAGATGCACATCACTGATCACGATTAGCGATCCACAATTTGAATCCAAAACTGATTACATATCATGTCTGATGTCATGATTTCTTAGACGGTAAAATAAAACCGGTCTATCTTTCAAATTTCATTTTCACAAGGTCCTACCTCAGAATCGCTCGAATCCATTAGGTCCGTATCATTTTCAACTGTAGTCCGAGTTTTAGTGTTCAACAACTCTTCCTCTACTTTTGAAAGTTTCTCTTGGAGAATTTTATTCTTTTCTATTTCCTTTTGTTTCTCTTCCCATTCATTGTAGGTCTTCACCTGCTCATGGTAGAGGTTGACCTGTTCTTGGTAGGTCTTCTGCTGTTCTTCGGCAACCATCTCATTCAATTTACATATTTCTGACTTGAGACTAGCGTTTTCAGCATCTTTATTCCACATTTCTTGTTCGAGGTGTTCAACTCTTTCCCCCAGGAGACGGCTCTTTGTCATCTCATCTTCAAGCAGCTTGTTTGATTCCTCTTCTTTTGCAAGAGTAGGGAATGCTGGGTTCAATGTTTTCTGGTCCTCTTCCAGAAACGTGGCTTGCTGTAAAGAATGTGTTAGTATTAGTTATCAGCTGAGATTCCTTTTTCTTAATGAAAAGCTCGAATACAGCGTGATCTTTTTAATGATTATTAATTACAGATTTATTTGAAATATAACAGTCATTGAAATTAGCGGATAGCCTCGATTTTAAACAATAAACAAACCGTGGAGCAAGATTCCTGAATTTGCTGAATTTCTGTTCGATTTTGAAGCGGTGTTACTGATTGAGTCTTTCTGACAAGTTTCTGATTTTCAACCTTTTTCTTGCTTGTCAGATATGAATCCTGTGAGATTGTTAATAAGTTAAACATTTACTAATTCTACGTTGCATTATCCTACATGAGACTAAAACCGACAGGAACAACCGAAAAGTAAAGTTATGGCAAGTGAGGAGAAATTGGATGAATACATAATTGCAGGACGCAACGTAGTATGTATGATGTGGAAAAGTTTACTAATACAGCTCTTCATAAAAATTAATCAGAAAAACCGGCCTTAACAAATCGATCAACAGCATAAATGTCTTTGTGGTTTTTAAACAAAAAGATTACTCCAAGCACCACGGCCCAAAAAAACTAATAATGAAGGTTGATGTCAAAAAACAATGAAATTGAAAAGGCTGTATGTAAACGCTTTAAATTTTACTTACAATATCACTAGATGCTTGTGTACTGTAAGTCTGACCCATAGTAACTTTAATGTCAGACAACTGTAGATAATCTTTTAACTTTGTATTTTCCTGAATTTTCCAAACGAAACGATAGGGCGGACGGACTATAAGCGAATGTATTAGAAACGAATAAAGAACTGAGGTTTAACGTGTGAGGGAAGCTTCTTATGGCGCCCTGGTCTGTTGCCATGGGGAACGCGTGCGCGCGTGTTCTCATTGCATGTGACGAGATCACGTCCTGCGCTTTGGTGTTTGGGCTAGATCGATCCTCAACGGTTACATTATCTTTCATTCGCCATTCATTGTCCGTGAAAGTGTTCGAGGGCCTTAGCTCATCTTTGATAGTTTGCGGTTAAGATATAAGCTCTAATTTCCACAAAACTTTACAGCGTTTACTGTTCACGGTATTCACTGATCCGTCTTCATTTATAGCATTATGATAAAGCATACTGATAACAAATTTTTGCTATGATTAAGGACACTTATCCTATTTATTTAATTCCAATTCCATTACTTCTGACCTCAATCTGGACATAAACTCCGTTAAAATGGTGAACCTTTAGTCAGCTTATATTTGAAAATAGGAAAAATTGGAACGGTTCGGTAAATCAAAACGTCAATTTCTCTAATTTTCGCCGGAAGTCTTGCTTCCAGAACAGCTCAAACGTGACTTGTACTATCCTTTGTTAACCCACTAATTGTTCTCATTTTAAGATTAACTACTGGTGGCTGTAGCAATAACCTGGCGTGAACCCCTGCACTTGCAGGCTATAACTCTATAAGTATAATGTTCATGAACTTAAAGATAAAACATAATAAAGATGCGGCAGAATGACAGGCTGAGCCCAGTAATAGTACTGAGTACTACTCATCGTCATTAACTTAGTCTTATCTCCATGACTTTTTTACTCGTGTTTAAATTATTATATTCGTTTTTTTTCCGTGAAATTGTATTTGTAACGCGGTTAATTTTTAAGATTTTATTTTTATAGCATTCTTTCGATTTTTAGAGTTCTGATCGTATTAGTCATACTTGTAGAGTGTGCAGTACCGTGTTTGGTCTCCCGTCAGATTTTACAGACGAATAATTTATTCGAGTTTATTTTATACGTTATTATTGCTGTACTGTAGGCACGGGTTACACTAGTCATCTAATATTTGCAATATCTTTGCATTTTTGCCATGAAATTATTTCCTATTTCTAACTTATAAAAATGCACTCCCAGATTTATAGGAAACTAATTTGCAACTGTTACAGAAAAAATTAAAATCTAACTTTCAAAAATGCACATGCCAGATTTATAAAAAACTAATTTGCAATTGTTACAATAAAAATTAAAATCTAACTTTCAAAAATGCACACCCAGATTTATAGGAAACTAATTTGCAACTGTTACAGTAAAAATTAAAATCTAACTTTCAAAAATGCACATCCAGATTTATAGAAAACTAATTTGCAATTGTTACAGTAAAAATTAAAATATAACTTATAAAAATGCACTCCCAGATTTATAGGAAACTAATTTGCAACTGTTACAGTAAAAATTAAAATCTAACTATTATAAAAAATGCACTCCCAGATTTATAGAAAACTAATTTTGAATTTGCAAAATTAAAATCTAACTTATAAAAATGCACTCCCAGATTTATAGAAAACCAATTTGCAATTGTTACAGTAAAAATTAAAATCTAGATAAAGATTTATTATTCATGCTAATTGTTCGCGTTCATATTATTAAGTTTTTGTTAGATTTGAGGAGATTTTGTTTCAAAGTCCGTTAGTCGTTACGTGTTCAAAGGTAATATCTGGAGTCACTGAAAGAGATCCACAAAATAAATCAAGGCTCTCACGTACAGATCTAACCAGACCCCTCTCGCGCTTGCAGTAGCGCCCAACCGCCATTATATGCGTCACGTAGCATGCGAAGTCCGGCTAGTAGATGTCAGTGTTTTTAAGTTCTCTTTCGATCTCGTCACCTGAAGAAGTTTTTGTTAATAATAATAATAATATGTAAGTTTATTGCATATCGTAATCATGATACAGACTAGTATTAAATTATTTTCAATATATTCTAACACCTAAGAATAAGATCTAAAGTTTTATGAATCTAATCCTACGTTTGTATTTTTGTAACGTTTTTAATTTTTATAATCCTTTTATGATTTATCACTCCATAAAAAATGTAACGTTTGAAAAATAATACTAATATATCTTACTGACCTGGTGTATCCATTGGAAAGGATTTTTCACGTGTGTGTACAGTTGTATTCGTAGCTTTCCATATTCCGCTGCAGACCCTCCCTGATTCCATCGTCATTGTGTAGGGGGCAGAAAATTCTCTTATTTCCTCAATAAATCTTACAACTAAGATCGATTTTGGCGGAATGATAAATTCCACTTTAATTTCAAAAGAAGTGCCCTCTTTGTTAACAATTTCTGTCGTTTTTTCCCATCTTTCTGTTTGGGTTTTCTGAACGGTTGCAGATATGGTCGCTGGAGTTTCAGGAACCGGGATCTCAGCCCCTGCAGTCAACGTCCAGCCAGATGTTTGCACGTAGGAAGTCTTGAAAGTAGATGTGTTTTCAGATGATTCTCTCAATGTTTCCCAATGCTCTACATTAACATCAGCTGTGTTACTTTGAGTTGTTGGGGTTTTTTTAAAGCGTCTCACTGGTTCCTCCGTTATGAGTTTCTCTTCATCCAGGATGAACGATACTACCTTATCTTTTGCGTAGAAAGTATATGTCACTCCTAGCATTAACTCGTTAATACTAGAGGTGAATGAGAAGACTTTTATCATCTCTTTTCCATCACTCTTTTCTGCAATACTATCTCTTGCTTTGATTGCCTGTTCTTTCCAAGAGTCACGATTATTTATTCCCTCCTTCATCATATATCCTTTTAAGTCTCCGAACTCAGGGAGTGACTCGTTCCACCACGCAGAGAAGATCGCCCATCCATCTTGGTCATTATTATGCGCGTCTATCGCAATTATTTGTCCTGCCTTAGCCCCTTTGTCTTCTAGCTCACTGATAATTTTTGCTGCGGCATCGCTCCAGCTATGGTCTCTTACCTCGCAGTGTTTTATGATTTGCTTTTCCCTATGCTTCCTTGCATTTAAATTTGCATTTAAAGTGAGTTCCAGCATTTCCCTTGCAGGCATCATCAGTGCAGGTAATGGTATCGATTCAAATGAAATTGCAGCTGTTGGGATCGCAGTGTTGGGATCGCCCCATACTGTCAACTGAAAATTGTTGTGGTAGTAGATGTTGTCGTAGTAGAAGACAAATAAAACGGCGTTTGATACTATTGGTATATAGTTTATTTTATAGCTCATGCTGCAGGAAGCTGTGATGGAAATAACATCTCTTGGCTCCAACATAGAGACAAACTGATCTGCTTGGTTGTAGAAGGTTTCCCATGAGAATGAATCGTTTATCAGTTTGTACTTTATATAGGTTTGCTCCTCGGTCGTCTCGAACCTATCATCATAATATGCTGTGAGGTGACACGAAGAAATTACTCCTCCCTGGCAGTGAGCATCTATCCACAGTATAGACCCTTTCTTTACCCCTTCATTCCACAATTGAGATGTCAGATCGGTTGCTGCACCTTCCCAGGAAGAATGCACCACTAAGAGTGTGATGATTGTCATTACCAATATCCACCCTGCTAAATTGAAATGATGACACAATTAACATCAGTTCGTTTTAAACATAGCATGATTTTACTCAATAAAAAAGCTTAGTGACAACAAAATGTTTTACCTTGGGCAGGTTGGCAAAAAGGGGCCAACGTTTTTGCCTCATTGGCTCCTTTGCCCAGAAAATGATAATTTTGGACACTTTTGAAGATATTTCTTTGATAAGTGTGTACTAGTTTTACCATCTATAACAGCTAAGTTATTTGCAGTGCCAGTGCAGTTAGACTATATGAGTATATGCAGCTGAGGGGCGAAATTGGGCCAACTGTTTTGCCTCATCTGGGTTCAGTTGTCCGGTAGCCGATTCGGAATCAGCGTCCGAAAATACATCAACTCAAGTTGGTTTCAACTGTCGGGGCCCTTTTAGAAAAACTCGAAGATCGATTGTAAAGTGGTTTAGCACGTACTACTAGTACATTATAAAAACTTTAAGATTCAGAAGCTGGAGATTCCAAATTCATAATGACAAACGCTAAATTAAAAAACAAAAAACCGTCGGAGAATTCAAAGTATACACAGTATGACTAAAGGCAAAGCAATAAAATTTTTCTGGAAATGATGATTTAACAAAGTTGAGTAAACATCGTTAGTCCCGGAAACGCAACCAACATTCTAACATTGTTGGCAACTGGCCAACCTTAGCTTTGATAGATCGTGATAAAGCAGTCACCAGTTTCGCGGTATGTTGATACGGATATACTATGTAATGGTTTTGAGATACAAATTGAGCATATGAAGAAAGTGACTGACAGGTGGGTGGACAAAAAGAATGAAAATTAAGTGCCTTCAACGAAATGGATTATGGAAGAGTTTTAACCAGTCACTTAGGACACCCATTGAGGATACCTATAAGCTAAAATAACTAAAAACGTAGAAATCCTTCGAAAGCTCGCTGTTTAGTCTATGTAATAAGCGCCATGAGTTGGCACAGAATTTTTTGTCTCTGATTTTGATAAATTTGGTACCAAAAGTTGCCTCTAAGTGTGAATAATGCAAATTCACCGTGTAGCAAAATAACGTCGAGCTATATGTGGGCCTCCTGTGCATTACAAAAATGTACAAAGGACGAAAAATGGGTAATTTATTGCTTAAAATGCCTATAACTCCTAAAATATTGAATATTTTGAAATATTTATTACAGTATCGTAATGAGCTTAGTCAGACGCAACTTTTGGTACCAAAATTATAATATTTGAAGCACCAAATTTTTCAAAAATTTGTTCAAAATTTCACACAAGGGGGGACCCTTGTGTTCAGATTGAAAAATTTTGAAAATAATTTTCCTTTAAATCTTAAAATATTAGTACTAAAAGTTTCGTCTCGATGAGCTGATTACGATGCCATAATAATTATGTGATAATAACTGAAAATGTGAAAGTTATAGGCCAAAAACTAAAAATTTGCGCGAAAAAAGCACGCGCGGCGAACAAGCGCCGTGTAGCATTTTTTCCGAAAATTGCTACACGGTGGATTTATTTTATTCACATTTTTAGACAAATTTTGGTACCAAATTTATCGAAATCGGAGAAAAAAAGTTCTGTGCTCGCGCTTGGCGCTTATTACACTGACTAGTTTCATTGTCTTAATATCTTTAAATAAATTGTTTGTACTAGTATTGGAAAAGGACAGCTCCGCAACTGCATCTTGTAGTGGTTTACACGTTGAACCAGGGGGTACAATAATACTATTATTCCCTCTCCCTCTCCCTCTCCCTCTCCCTCTCCCTCTCCCTCTCCCTCTCCCTCTCCCTCTCCCTCTCCCTCTCCCTCTCCCTCTCCCTCTCCCTCTCCCTCTCCCTCTCCCTCTCCCTCTCCCTCTCCCTCTCCCTCTCCCTCTCCCTCTCCCTCTCCCTCTCCCTCTCCCTCTCCCTCTCCCTCTCCCTCTCCCTCTCCCTCTCCCTCTCCCTCTCCCTCTCCCTCTCCCTCTCCCTCTCCCTCTCCCTCTCCCTCTCCCTCTCCCTCTCCCTCTCCCTCTCCCTCTCCCTCTCCCTCTCCCTCTCCCTCTCCCTCTCCCTCTCCCTCTCCCTCTCCCTCTCCCTCTCCCTCTCCCTCTCCCTCTCCCTCTCCCTCTCCCTCTCCCTCTCCCTCTCCCTCTCCCTCTCCCTCTCCCTCTCCCTCTCCCTCTCCCTCTCCCTCTCCCTCTCCCTCTCCCTCTCCCTCTCCCTCTCCCTCTCCCTCTCCCTCTCCCTCTCCCTCTCCCTCTCCCTCTCCCTCTCCCTCTCCCTCTCCCTCTCCCTCTCCCTCTCCCTCTCCCTCTCCCTCTCCCTCTCCCTCTCCCTCTCCCTCTCCCTCTCCCTCTCCCTCTCCCTCTCCCTCTCCCTCTCCCTCTCCCTCTCCCTCTCCCTCTCCCTCTCCCTCTCCCTCTCCCTCTCCCTCTCCCTCTCCCTCTCCCTCTCCCTCTCCCTCTCCCTCTCCCTCTCCCTCTCCCTCTCCCTCTCCCTCTCCCTCTCCCTCTCCCTCTCCCTCTCCCTCTCCCTCTCCCTCTCCCTCTCCCTCTCCCTCTTCCTCTCCCTCTCCTCTTTTGAAAAGCTGAACTAAGGTATTACAAAACTGCACGTTTTGCAGCTACCGGATAACTGAACACAATTTATACTTTTCCTAGAAGTAGACAGCCAGACAGGGTAGCTTAGGAAAATAGCTTTAAACCCAATCATAGTCTACCTAATTAACTTTGAAACTTTGAAACGATAACTGAACCCAATGGCAATCGTCACTAGAAATAACTAACAGATAAACAGGTTTCCAAATACCGCTCTAGTTTAGCTGCTGCCTGGTTTCTAATGCTATAATTTCGGAGAAAAAACAGAGCCAATATTCCATTAATGTTAATTTTAATAGGTACGGGTAAACCCCCCTAAAACGTCACCTGTTTTTTGGGCCCAGATTGCCGAGTTAGGGCTAAATTTACAGGGTTCTGAAGTGTCTAGGAATAATATTTAAACCTTTTTCTAGCCTGCCAGGAAGATTTGGAAATTTGAAAATAAAATCAGGTACAATTTTTTTGACGTTGAAATGGAATCACTTTTAAAACACCACCCCTAAAATGTCAACTCCATATGTGTCATAATTACAAAATGTACAGGAGGCCTGATGTATCTTTTGTCACTAGTACTATTTGTTTTGTCTTATTAAAACATAAAGCTACTTGAAAACATTCACTCACTAAAGGAAGTACCTCAAAACCGTAATCACCCCCTAAAATGTCACGTGCACCACCCCTAAAACGTCAGCTAAAACAGGTTGTGTAGCACTCAGAATGTTGCTCAATTATTAATTTTAACCACTTCTGGGACTAATATAACCTATTTCTGAGGCGTCGACCAGAATTTCTCTCTCTGTTGAAAAAAAATGGCGGAATTTAGTCAATTTACTTTTTGTGACATTTTGGGGACTTTTTTTGAATACCCAGAACTTACGGCAAAACAGTAACTCAGTCAACAAAATTTACACCTGTAGTTAGATTATCTAGTTATAAACTAACAATTGGCACAAAAGAAATGGATTCAATGTGATTTCAACCTTGTGCAAATTGCATGTTTTAATTGCATTTTTTGGGATTTTTAACATCATCCTGCATCTTGGCAATTTTAGTGACCTGTAGTTAACTAAGCCAACCCAGTAATCGATCTGACCTTCTCTATAGACTAGATTTGACTGCTTTTAGCAAAATTGAATGTCAAAAACTACGGTTTTTGGTACTTACTAGTTTATGGTAAACCTATGATATGCCCCCTAAAATGTCATTTTTTTTCTCCCCTAAAATGTCAAATTTGTATTTTGTTCGCATGGTGTGCGATAATAGCTCTTGTTTTGGCACTTGTTGATTATTAACATCAACTATTAACGAAGTGTATGCATTGCATCTTAGGAAAAGCCTGAGTAATTTGATCAGGTTAAAATTACATTTTAGGGGGGATAATTAAACATTTTAGGGGATGTTTATTGCGATTAATAAAATAAAACTAATTCCTTGAGCTGCCAAAGCTTTCCAATATTACCATTAGATGCTAAATATAAAATATGATGTTTAATAGGCTGGTACCTGTTTTATGGTGCTTGTAGTCTCAAAGCCAGAATCTGATAAAATGCAATGACATTTTAGGGGGCGGCCAGGTGACATTTTAGGGGAGGGTAGTAATCTTACTATATATAAAGCGAGACGATATATATATATTTATCTGTGCCATTTTACTGACACCACGGCATCAACTTTAACACGACTTTCCGCAAAAACCGTAAAAGATATACAACTGAAACTTTTTTGACTGGGTCAAATGCTTTAATGGCCTTCAAATCAGCATGAAAAAATAAAAAATTGGCCAAGAAATAGGAGTTTTAGAGCCCAAAATTTGGACCCCCAAGTGGTGTCAAAAACGCGAATTAAATAGGTAATAATTATTTTAGTCTCTTGAGTCTTGACACCACTTTAGGGTTAGACGGGTTCCTGCTAGTATGGAGTAATGTATAACTTTCCATATCTCCAGTCATATGTACAAAGTTGCTAAAATATGTAAATATCACTATCCTAGACCAAAACTGAGTTAATATTAATGAATTCCAGAGTTATAAAATTGTGCGCTTTTTTTCAAAAGTAAAAAATTCGTACAAAGTGAAAAAATGCCCTTATGGCATCATTTAGATTCAATTTCAGGATAATAATAATAATAATAGGATTATGGCCACATGGCCATCTCGACAAAACTTGAAACCCAACTGCACTCTACGCTATTGCAGTTCGCACAATATTATCAAAAAGAAAAATGTTCCTAAGGATGAGGTAGGGTCTGAATGATATTTTTTTATGTTTAGGAGTTACAAATGATTAGGTAAGATACTTTCTAAGAAGATGGGATCCAATCAATCAAGAGTGGCGTTTTAGGGGTGGGTGACATTTTAGGGGGGGGGGGGGGGGGGGGGGGGAGGGGGGGGGGGGGGTTTACCCGTAATTGTAATATATAATAATTAGAGA